AAAAATGTAAACCAAAATAAGTATGATGATTGATGAGAACATGATCGAGAAATGGTATGTTCCACCTGAACTTCAAAAATACCTCGATATTAGTAATTGAAAAACACTGCTATCGTAATAAATCGTATAAGATTGAAAAGCCCATACAAAATCTAAACATAAAAAGAAAAAAACACGAGAATGAAACTTTTCTTGACTCATCCAAAGAATCTTGGTAAAATTCAACTCAGATTCTTTTAAATAAATGCAAACAAATTTTAGAATTACTTTTCGTAAACTTCAAAGAAATAGAACCAGTTAAATCCGTAGAAGCACTCACATACACACAAAAAAAATAAACAAAAAAGAAAAAAATGAAAAAAAGAGCTAGAAAAGAAAATAAAAGGAGTTAAACAAATTGATCGAGCGTAGTTACTCTAATTAAACAAAAGGATACAAAATTGAAACTCTCAAACATGATCTGAAGATTTTGATAAATCAATCAAAGTCGAATTATTCGACATACGGAAAAAAATTTCAGAATCAGTTGCTAAATTTAAACAAAAATAGAAAAGATTAATTGCAACAAATTTAAGCAAACACAAAACAAAAAGTGAGCAAAAAATAAATAAATAAAGGAAAGAAAAGTAAAGTAAAGAAAGTGATAGGAATTTATTAGATGCAAAAAAGATAACAAATCAGCACATGCAAATACATATATATGCTTTTATAGACCCGCACATACACGATAGAGTAAAAAATTATACACAAGGATAATTAAAAAAAATACTCTCCAAATTCTTCTGGATCGGTGCCGCTATCATCATCAGAATCCAAATCTGAAATGAAATCAAAGCAAGAAATCACAATTAAAAAATGCTCTTACAGAAAAATCGCAAGAGGAGCCGAAATTTATCTACGAGAAATAATCTTACTGACTACTCCTGTGTGATCTTCAACTGGCAATTGATCAACATGGGTTTCTTATTTTTTTGGCTCATGTTCTTCTTCATGGTTCAGTTGAGAAACTAGTGGTGGGTGCTCAACTCCAGCACCATGAACCGGCGTCTTCTTGCGGCTGTCTCGTCGACTTATGTTGTGATGAACAGGCATATTTTGTTGGATTTTGTCTTGTGATTCTTGTGCGCTCTCTTTGGTTTTTTGGGGGACAACTTTAGATTGCAATAGGTTGGCTGGTATACAAATTTATATAAGGTTTCTTTCTTCTTCTTCTTCTTCTTTTTTCTTGTATACGATATTAAATAGTCGCACGTAATGTGCATGTCTTGTACCAAGAGTCGCATGTCTTGATCGTGACTATCTATTGCAACTACCTTAAATTGGTTGCACTTTTAGTTTGTTTTTCCATCAATTACGATACTAAATACTCCCACTTCTTGTAACTAATAGTGACTATTTATTGACAAAACAATTATACTCAACCTTCAAATATAGAAGCAAATATCATTGCATGCTCTTCCAACTTTTATCTCTCTTCTCCTGCCCTGCTAGCCTTTTCTTAACAACAATATGTTGGTCTCTCTACCATCTCAGACCTACATGAACTCTATTTACTTGTTCATTGTGCTACATGCTCGTCCCTCGGAACTAGTGAATTCACTCTCTCTACGTCGTGGCTTTGTTCAATATTATGTAATCACCATCGAGTGATACTTGCATAACGTGAGTTATATGATATAGTAGCATGAGCTAGATGAATAAAATACATATTTGGCCTTTCCAACTCCACAAGTTCATAAAGAAGTTATTAGTAAAGCAAGAGTGACTCCTAGTTTTTAATTACCTACCCCCACATCCCATTGCACAATTTATCCTTCACTGGCTTCAACAACCTACATGTTGCCCCTTTCTCCATCACTAGTTGCACAACAAGGAATTTATCGTAGGAGGGCCTAAATTGGGGTGGTTTCTTCATACTGAAAAAAGGGTTAAACGGCGAATTCAAAATAACAAGCTAAATAGTTGTTTAGACCCATCTTCTGGTAAATATAGAAATCATAGTTATGCACAAATGTAAATACAAAAATAACACAAACAACTTTCATACATTTTGCAAACAAATTTTATGAAAATTGAGTTTCTATTTATTTTTTTAGTTAGTATTTTTTTTATTTAATACTTTTGAAATTCAATTCCGATTTGGACTTTTAATTTTTGTTATTATCTAGAGTTTAGTTGTTATCCAAATTTTCGTTATTTGTCATTTGATATTTAAAATCAACGTGTCAAAATTCTATGTATTCGTACGCGAAACTTGAGTTTTTTGATGCCTAAAATTCTTGTATTCCTACTTCCTAGGAATCAACGAAAACTAGAAGGTGATAGTGTTGCACTATTCTTTTGGAATCAATGGAACTACGATAGCATGTTTGTTTACTATTTATATGGCAAGACACTATTTATATTGCTCTTGCCTGCACTACATCAGTTCGAAAATTGTCGTGAGGTGAAGAATAATCTTCTTCAAACATTTAGGATGCCACCTCTTGGGCTTCGAGTCCGGACCTGTTTGTTAGATATAAAGAGAGGAGGCAGAATCCGCAAGGATGTTATGAGGACATATTGCTACTGTTTTAACAACCTTTACTGTATACTTGAAAAGCGTAATATGATTTGAAAAGTCATCTATTTGATTTTCAAATTGAGAATGAAGAAGAGAAGGGGTTGAAAAAATTAGGACGAAGTTTGGTTCCCCATGCAAGACTAAGTTTGATAATCCCTTCCTGCTACATAAGTATGGTAAAACAACATTGTTATTAACATTTATTTTTCCTTTTTATTTTGGCTGTTAATAGATATGTCTTAGGGGAAAGAAAAAAAGAAGCAGCAGATCCTGTAAAGAAGTTACAAAAGCCAAGTCCCCTAAATTGCATATTAATGGAAGGAAAGAAAATAGAACAGCGGTCCGTGCAACAGCAAAAGCTCCGATTGCTGCTTCTCGTAGGAGGTGAATGTTCGTGTCCATTGTGGCGAATGGAAAACATTCAAAAATCTTGAACTTCATAGTTAATGCTCCAAATATCTGTCCATAGGACACTCACTCCCAACTCCATGTTTGTAAAAGTAAATTGATACTGTTAAGAACACATCATGCATGTACCAAGCTCCCTCACTTTATGTTTGAAGAAGAATGTGATGCGGACATCATCGAGATTTATTTTATTGTTATTGGACTTTATTATTTGTGTTTCGTATTGATGGACTTGATTTAGCGGGTTGGGCAAAGCACATAAAATTAGGTTATTTTCTGCTATTTATAAGGTTTACTGTAGTTGACTGCAGATGATGATTGAA